AAACATAGCTAACCTGTTATCATCAAAAGTGAAGATGAAGGCTTTTCGTGGCAGTCTCTCTCTCTCCCTCATTCCTATCTGAGTGGATGTATCTGATGTGACACTATGCCCTAGATTTATACTGGGATAAGGAAAACTAGCTTCCTTTCAGCTTTTTGCTGATTCCAGCAGGTGGCTAGATAGAGGGCAAAACCTAGTCATAGGTCACTGTTAAGATCAGTAGTCATGAATCAATTCCCATGATAGTTAAATTATTGAGGCAATGCAGAGAATGTCTAGGCAACAGACGGAGCTTAAGATTTCCTTCTTGACAGTTTTCTGCTTTACAAAATATGCATCTCCTAATTTGCCGAGCTGAGGATAAATATCTGTAATGCTGCCAGGCTTCCTCCTAATTTGTCTGAACTCAGCTCTGTGCCATCACTGGAAGCTAATGGCCAGAGCTCTGCTTACACAACCCAAAGGCTCAGTTTGAGTGCATGTTGTGCCTGAAGGCTGGAAGCTGAACACCCAAATCTTTCTGTGTCTGAGAGCCACGGGGTAAATGCCACACACCTGACAAGGATGAAACCAGAGGATGCCCCAGGAGGAGGCCAGGGGGGGTCCCATGATCTTGTGACAGTGCAGGGCCATCAAGGTGAGGAGGTGAACATTACTGTGCTGCACAGAGCAACACCTCCTGAAACCTGGGTCTGGACTACCCAGGAACTTTTGTTCCAGCACCATCCTGCGGCCAGTGACGTAAGCTGGTAGAGAAACCCAGTACATAAACCACCTCTAAACTTTGTTGTGAGCTGCATGTAACACTCAGACAGTAGAGCTGACCCTACATGCTTGCATTTGTTTCAATGAGTAGCATTTTCCTGTGGATCCTTTTATTCTACATTTATCACCCTCTTTCTATGTCTTAGCTGTGGCATCAGTACCACATCCTTTTAACAGAGTTATTTGTTTCTATGTAGAGAAAACAATGACATTTAGGGCCAAAATCAGCCTCCAAGGACAGCACAGAAAATTGGTAGAGTCCACAGGGATGCCAAAATCCCAAAAGTACTAAGGCACATATGAAAATTCAGGGTTCAGCTCCTGCCTAATGTGGGGGGAATTTAAAAGTCACCAGATTTTTGTTTCTTTGAACATCTTTCAGAAACATTTAATGTCTTAATTTCAAGGGCTTAATATTCCTCTTCATTTGCAATATTTGTAAGGGATTGCAAATAATGAATTTAAAAGATAATATAAAAATATGAACTTTATCATATCACCAGTGATAGACCTTTGTTGGAGCTGCAAACTTAAATATAAGCCAAATGACCTCAACCTGTCCAAAAGGAGAAGCACAGCCAATGGGCAAAGAGAAACAGCTTATTTACACACAGGTAGATGAAACTATGATATATTATATCAGCTAAAAGTATATATAAATTAACATTTTTACAGTTTCTGTTTAAAAAGGGGAATATCACATCAGAATTTAATACACTCAAAATACTCCAACATGCAGTCTCAACATAGTCAGGCCAGTATTAAAAATCTAGATTGTTTAATGCACTATAATCACACATTTGTTGCCGAACTATTACTTAAGATCTCTTTTCAATCAGCAACAAATAGATAAGTATTTTTAAATATCTTCATTAAGGGCCTAGTGTGTAATGCTTATCAGTACATATATCAACACTGGAAGATTTAAAAGAAATTCAACAGATGGGCTGTAGACACAACTACATTTTAGGTAAGTGATGTGTTTTCATGATGTTGATGAAAGGGGAATTGTTTGGAATAAGCAGAAAAGAAAGCCTAACTTTAAACAAAAAATTGTTAAATTGAGTTTTGGATTTACGTCATATATTAAACACCATCCTAAAGTTGCTCCCTTTTTAAAACTAGCTACTGTTCTTAACCAGGTTACATCTACTATGATAATGCACGATTGGGAGTTAGCCACAGGAGACAGGTTCACTTTCTACATCATTTGGTCTCTGCTTTACTTATATTCTAAATTACAGAAGGTCAGATACTGCTTGATATTCATACACCCTGCACAGCACAAGAAAAGTGCAAAGACCCCTCTTCCCTCACGAAACTCTGGCAACTTACAGGCCAATTGCCTGTGGGTGAATTCGACACACATTAATTCTTTTTATAACAGAACAAGCCCTCACTCCAACAAATATTAAAATCCTGAAAACACTCAGATAAGGACAAATATGTAAGAAAAAAATAGCCCCACATGCCATCAACTATGCCATCAATAATACAAAATATTTTACACCACTTGCACCTGAGTTGAAGAGTGGAAAAGAGAGGGAGACTCTGTCAGTGCAAGAGAATGATTCATGTGACCACTTTGTCTTAATTACTCAGAACAAGCAGTTTGTTGCTGTTTAGTGAAGAACAAAGATATCAGCGTCCCCTGACAGAAAAATAAATAGCCATCATGGTGGTGAAGATGATGATGACTGCCAGCACAACGATCAAAATCCGGTTTTGGATGATCCTGGAAAAAAGCAGAAGAAAGAAAAAAATTGCAGTGAATAAAACAAAATAAATCAAAACATCAGAATATATAAAAATATAAAATGAAGTGTACAAAAGAACTGGAGAAAAGACATATGACCACAAATTCAGTATTCCCTCTACCATCTTGTGTATCTTGACTATTTTTTACTTCTGCCAATTTCCAGTGCTTTCTACCATATTTTTATGTGGCTATTAAATCCAACTTTTGTATTCAAGAAAGAAGAAGAATTTTCTGAATTATGCATACATTTATATACATATTAGAATAAATTAAATAAATTATATTCCAATTTATTAACCTTCTAAGAACAAATGAAAAATAATAGTGTTGAGTCAATGCAATCCAAGCAGGGTGGTCTGTAATAGTAAATATCTTTATGTTTTTAAAAACCATTCTGAAATCTTCAGTAGTTTTAATCTGGAAAGAAAGAATTTATTAATTTTCAAGGGATTTTACTATTAAGGAACAAGATTTCAAGGAAACACATGTCAATGAGATACTCACTTGTACTAAAATACCAAGGGAAAAGTACAAAAGATAGTTTTGAAGAAAAGGATGATATAAAGAAGCAAGTGTCAAACTGTGAAGCTGATGTTGTAAAAGCATCTCTTGTCTCTGTAGCATACCTTTACTTATGGTAATAGGCAATGTTACATTTCTATGTAGTATGAAAAAAATAAAGATTAGTGAAAATAAAAAGATGCCAGAAGTAGAAAGTCCTAATATTTTTCCATTATTTTTTGGGAGAAATTCCTGCTTCTAAAATCAGTCATCACATCACTTCAGATTTTTCCTAAAATTAATAGGTCAATTCAAATTACTAAATCAAGAAACAGTAGCATTTGAGGCATTTTACAGGAGGATTTTGGATTGTAAGAATTCACTGTTTGTTATTCCATTTTCACAGAGAAGGAAGAATATTTTCACAGGCTCTTCATAAATAGGGACTTTTGCAAAACATACTTGTACATTAAGCTTATAATCAGAATTGGAGAGGTATAGCAAAAAAAACCCCAACAACAAAGTGCAATAAAAGCACCCCAAGTTATATATTTTTTCTCATGCTTCTGCAAAACAAAACAAAACAAAGTCTGCAAGAAGCAAACAATGGTAAGAAGAGGTAAAACCGTGTTTTGTGAAACATCAAGCCAAGTACAACTTGAAGACAGGGAATGTAATGTGTTAAAATGAGCATATTTTACGCAGTGAAAGAGCGAAGAAACTCCAGAGAGCAGAGGGGAGTTTTTCTTGGTAAATGTTTTTCATTTGGATGCGGGTGGATATACATATAAATTATACTGGAAAGTGTAAAGAAAAATGCAGTTTTAACCAACTCCAGCTCTCTCCTTGCTTACCCCCCACCTAAAGGAAAAGCAGTAAATGGATGGATGAAAACTGTCACATCAGACAGACACCCTCCCTTGTGACACTCTAAAAGGACTAGCTCTCTATCCTCCTGACAGGTTACAAAATGATCACATTTGCTGACACGTCTTCCGCAAAACTGCTTTAGTGTTTGTGTCCACTTTCCTAGCAGGAGATGAATGGGCTGCTTTGTCCTCATTTATCACTTAAAGCTGAACTAAGATCTGTCTCGTTTATTTTTCCCTTCCTCACTAGAAAGGCTCAACCACAGCATTAATTCTTTCGCGATGACAGCTAATTCAAACTTAACAGGCAATATTTACTCTGCCAAAAGGATGAGGAGGAGGGACGGATGTTTCTCACTCTTTATTTCCCTAAAAAAAAAAAGTGTAGCAGGCTAACAAAACAAAGCTAATTAGGGGCTTTTGGTTGTTGTTGGTTTGCACTTCAATTTAACACCTGAACTTACAAGCTTCTCTTTTGTGGTGGGGTGTGACATTCTCTGCCAAGCACCTGATAACAAACGATTTGCCCAGGCAAATACATGAAAACCAGAATATATATTTACTCACTCGCCCTCATCACTCCTGAAAGGACACTGAGCAAAATTGAAACTCAGCAGTGAAATAGATTAAAAGCATGAAAACTCTTAAAACATTCAGCCTTAAGTAATACACAGTGCAGCTGGCTTGACAACCATTTTATTTGTGGGATGTGGGCCCCAAGGCATCCATAATGCTAATTTACAAAGGATTAACTGTGAGTGAAACTCGCTTAATCTAACACATAGTTAGGCAAAGGCATACATAACATACTGAGTGTTTAAATCAACTCCTCCTATCTCTGGCCCACCGAAAAAAAATAATTCCGTCGTCTGAGAAGCAAAACCAAAGAAAAATAAAAAAGCCCCCATGAAGTCCCCCAAATGCTTTATTTTTAATACCCTGTCAGTACACACCTGATTGCAAGATTAAATAATCAGTGTCCACGTCTCTAAAATCCTTTTCAATAAAACAGTGAGTGAGGCAAGCCACCACCTGTATCTGCTAATTGAAGGTTCACTTACGGTGTGAATCTAGGAAATACATATCAAAGTTCAATTTCTAGGAATCTGAATTAGTCTGCACAGTGCAGCAAAAGAATATCATATTAAAAGGAACAAATTAATCATGAAATAGGATGGATGTTATCAACAGATTCCTATGCTGAAGCATTATATACTTTTAATATTCAAGCCCACATTTAAAGATTAATTTTATATCTTTAAAAAAAGAATAACATTGAGTTTTACTGTTTTCCTTACAAGTGAGCAAGTAAAATTAAACTAACTGCATACTGTCCAAAGGATGGGGCTGGGAGGAGAATGACAGAGCTGTTTGGCAGCAGCAGGACAGCCCCAAGGAGGACTCAGTGGTGCCTGTTGAAATCCGAGTCTGGGAGCTGCTGCTAAGACAGAGAACACAAGTTCTGGGTGTCAGCACATTTCAGATCTCAAAGTCAACAGGCAAGGACGGCCCTTTCGAGTAAAGAAAAAAGGAAGAGGAAAGGGGGTTTTGAGTGATCCAAGACAGTCAAGCCAGCTCACAGTAGTAGAACAATGGTTGGCATTGGCAGGACCCATCTGTAGGGAAGCCTATAGTACTGTCACAGCCAGACACTGCCAGTGGGTATTGCTTTAGGCAAAGCATCAAGGAATTTAAGTGGGGGAGGGAGTGATAATACCAAAGGAGAAGAAAATGGGGCCTAACGCTAGCTACAAAAAAATCCCAAAGGCTAACATGCTCACAAGAAGCAGATGATAGTCTTTTATCTCTATTACACCTTAAATTCAACAAAATGTGGTGAATGAGGAAGCCCAGATTTTTCTTTGAAAATGCAAAGCATGTTTACAGGGTAAATAATTTAGGAAAGAATATATACTTGAAAGAAGACACCCATTGAAACATCCATGGCTAAAATGCCTGAAGGCAAAAACTTGTGCATTTGCATGCTGCATTTTATTAAGTTAGCACACTGTAGCTTTAAAAGAATGCATGGCCAAATTAAGAGGAATGTGTGACTGAAACATCAAGGATTCCTCAAGTTTACATTATGAATCACAGTGCTGTTGATATGAGATGAATTAACCATTTAGTTGATGCAGCTTAGGCACTGAATTCACACCAAGTTCTGCTGGAGCCCTGTGCGGGAGCTCGTTAACAGCCAATGTCTACTGTTCCTTTCATACTCGAGGCTCTAGGAGCACAAGGGCTCATTCTACTTTGAGTTAGAAGAGACAAAAAATCTGTGCTTTTAAACCAAGCTCCATCTAGTTTATTATGGACAGCAGCCCGAAATATTTGGGTGCAAAACCACACAGAAACCGTAACTAAAGCAGACGCAGGGGTAATGTTAACTGACGCACTGGAAGAGCACTCTGGACTAACACTGCAAGAAAGCACATCCCTCTCCTCTCGAGTTTCCTTCTGCTCCACCTTTCCAGATGCCTGACCCTTTATCCTGGCTTCTGGTCACAGTCCCTGATCTCCAACCACTGCTGTGCTGGAGGGTGCCTCCAGCCAGTGCCAAATTCAGGACGCCATCTGCTTTTGAGGATCACCTCCCTGCTGCACAGGGCGACCACCCCTCTGCAGAACAGGTCCCACATGCGCTACCAAACACTGATGTTCCTGGGAAATCTGTTCCCCTCACTGCTGCCCTGGCAGAAATTGTGCTGCCTTTCCACATTTCAAACCCCCAAAGGATTCGCGCCTGTCCGTAGCTTCACACACACACGCACACAACGGGTCTAACTCTGTTTGTGCCATGTTTAGATCTGCTCCGTATAAACACAAAGCAGCTCCCAAATAAGCTTTTGCAAACCTTACATTAAGGATGCCAACCGTGTTTAAACCTTTTTATGAAACTGCATTCATTAGCAGGGGAGTGCACGACATCTATATGGGTTCAGCCTGATGTCTTGCACATGTCTTAGTGCCTGATTGACCAGCATTGAATAATGATGCCTTGCCATTAAGCACTGATGGTACAATAACAATTGTCATGAAAATCAGCAATCACAGTAACATGTTAACAAAATGCAGGATACAAACGAGCCAGTGCAGACTCTGGGTGCATAAAGAGTGTGTCCTTAACTTGAGGACTACAAATAAAATACTGCAAAAAATTTCCTACAGAAGCTCAACTCTGACACTGATACAAATAAAAAACAAAACAAAGCAAAACAAAACAAAAAAGAAAACAACCAAACAAATGGCTTGGGGGATCAGTTAGCACACATTCATTACAACACAGGGCTTTATTCTTAAAGGAGGCATCTTGAAAAATAGTGTCCTCAAGACCACAGACTGATTGATGACAGAGCACTGTCCAACAGTGTATCACTGTAATATATATTTATGATTTAACTAGAAGTGATTCCTACCAGTTTACTGCACAGAAAGGCTTGCTCTGTATACAAATCACATCTTAAATGGTCACTCTGAATACTTGGCTATTGCATTTTTTGTGTCCTTTTATTTATGATTGGCAGTTTTTGCAAACATGAAAGAAAATAGGTGCATGCAAATCAGTGGCAAGCGATTTTTAAGTGTCCAACATTCATGTGCAAA